GGCTCCAAAATCCAGATTGGGCTAGTCAACATTCTGGGCCAGCTGGATAATGAACCCTGTCCAGGAATTAAGAATTTAAATACCTTGAAGGTACCATTGAGTAAAGTTGTAGTGTACAAATATAAATATATGCACAATGTAAATACAAGGTTTAGAAAAATACCATATATAAGTTTTTGCATTGAATTCTTTCCCAACTAAGCTTAAAATTTGGAAATATTAATATGTAAATTGTGTCATGTTTATATGCACATAGGTATATATTTGTTCATATACATATGTTTATACATGTATAAATATATGCACATATACACATGTATCCTTATATATATATATATATATATATATATATATATTTATATATATAGAAACATATTAATTCAAGTGTTTATGTATAACTTACGAGTATAGGGATCATGTATGATATTTTGCTGAGGGATCAAGTATAATATCTTAGTGCAAGTGTACGTCCTATGCACATATGCAAGTAAATATTAACCATATATCATATATGGTATTTTGATTTTTCTTCACGTCAATCAAGAAAGCTATGGGAATGGTCAAACAAAGCCAATAACTCCCACTGTATAAGAGTTTGTTCGTTTGCACTAAATTCTAAGGTTTGATTGTCTTAATGTCTCTGAAATTGTAATAATTACTTTAAGAGGTGTATTGGAGTTGGTGAACTTTTTTCGGCTCCAAAGTTTGAATGTAGAGAATTTTGTTCTTAAATCTGAATGCTGAATTCTGAAAAGCAACAAATGGCCATTTTAGCCTTGGATATGAAAATTTTGTTTAACTATTTAACAAATTAATTTACAATTAATTAAATGAATATAAAATAATTAGTGGAATTGATAAAATTATTAGATTAATTAATAATTATTTATTAAGAGATATTTACTATGTAATACTTTATTAATTATTTATTAATAAATAAATAAATAAATAATTACTAAATAATTGAAAATATAATAAAATAATCATTCATATATAATAAAATATTAAAAATATTTATTTTAATTTATAATATTTACTAAATTAGTTATTTTAATAGTTAATTATTAAATAAATAAAAATAAATTATTTATTTTTAATATTTGTATGAATGTTTAATTTATTAAAAATTAATATAATCATATTAATTATTAAAATAGTTAAGAGTTTTTAATGATATTATTTAGATAATTATGAAATTATTATTTCTATGGTTAAGCATTAATATATTTCAATAATTATTAATTTATTTAACTAGTTAAGTAATAAATAATGACTGAAATGGTTATTGTAATTATTAAAATAACTATTTCAAATTATAAAATTGTTTTTATATATTAAAATAATTAGTTTATTTAATAATCCACTCTTAAACTAAATTAAATAAAATTATTATTAAAAACCAATACTCCACATGGATCACCTGAAATGGGTACCCTTGTGACTGGTGTGGAAGATGGGTGTGTTGTAGAAAATAGAATACAAATATAAAGAGGGATAAAACTGGAATTAAATTTATAATGCCAAATAATTGATAGGATATCAGCACAGACTAGTACAAATTCAGAGGTTTGAAGATTTTGAGCAAACGAAAGCTGGGAAAACCTCTTAAAAGTGCACATGATCTCTTCAGCATTAAGAGATAAGTGGTAACCAACAGGCCCTAAGTCAGAGTTGAGCTTAATGGGGTTGTTCTGTTAAAGCTTAAGCTTTCCTACATGAGTCATGACCCCACCTATTTTTTGCCACGTTGAAAGATCCTACAGCCTTTTGAACCGCAAACTTGGAACATGGAAGTGAAGTTTCTACTTATTAAAGAAAAAATTCATCACAAACAAATGATCCCACTGCGTACCTGCTCCAAAGAAATCATCGAAGTTGAAAAATGATCCACACCAATCTTTCATGGTTTAAGCCTCATGTCGTAATTAATTTCAATGCCCTACATTTGTTGAATGCGTTTTTTCGCTGTTCTGGACCCTACATTTGTTATGTAACTCTAATAATCGTCAAAACATTGACTCCGATGGCTATGATTATCACAGCATTACCAAACCAAATAACTAGAGGGAGGAATTAGCCTCATAAATCAGACATTGTTCAATAATCGTCAATTTCATTTGTTAGCATTTAATATATGGTACTAGCAATGATGTCAGACTTGGCCACCGGACGGGACAGTTGAGCCGATGAATCAGTGACCTTCTGGGTCTTGCTCTCTTGACAATTTTTTTACTCTACTAGTTGCACAGTTTGAACCTCCTGTGAGTCGTCTATTTCAACCTTTATGCAGTCATAGGTAGACTAATGTATTTATATTATAGAATCATTCTCAAAGTAGTAATAATTAGCTGTCTGTGTTTCTCAATCCACAGTTGAATTAATATGTTGTTTTGTTTTTAATATACAAACCACTAAGCCAGCCTTCTGAAACTAGGAAAATTGTTTAGCTCAGTTTGAATAGAGTGTAAATATAAATATATTCGGTATAAATACAAGGTTCAGAAATATTATATATAAGATTTTGCATTGTTGATATTTGTATTTCCACTCTTCTCAAATGGAGTCTTAATGATCATCAACCTTTGTGCTAACAGGTTTTGTATCAAAGACCAAAATAATTACTCACTCTCAGATGCTTGTTTCTTAAATCCTTAATGGTGTGTTTGGTTTAAATCTTTAATCGTGTGTTTATTAAATTCTTTCCCCTCCTTTCTTTACTTTTTCCTTCAAATCAAACATAACCTAAATGAAAGAGTAAAAGTATAACTTTTTTCCCAAAAAAAATAAAAAAATAATATACCAATTCAACTTCATTAATAATCCTTAAATGGTTTGACAGCATTAGGCCTTCACTAGAACTCTCTTTGCGGGACACATTATTTTGTGTAGACTAATATGGTTTCTAGATGCATTAATTTGATGTAGTGCCAAAGGTTGGTTCGGCTAATTCCGGACTCCCATTTAGCGCATATACATAGGTAAAACGGAGTATAATATTTCAGAGATTAGGGTGGTGTTTGGGATAGATGCTGATTTCTCATAAATCGACCTCATGTGAGAGCCACATCAGTAATTAAAAATTTGTTAATTATTTTGGTATTTGATTAAATCTATCAAAAAATGATTATTAAAATCGAGCTGAAAAAAATCAGCAAATTCGATGATTTTTCTTTTCAGGCCGATTTTGATTATTTTTGGATGATGTAGCACTTAATAAGAATAAGAGATATAGTTGATCACTACCAAACAAATTCATAACCGGAAATCGGTTAATATGTCAAGCAAATGGTACCAAAGAAACAATTTATCCAGTTAATTTCTTAAAAAATAATGATTTTAAAAATCACTGCTTTTTGAAAAATCTCAGCAAAGGAATAATCATCGGTCCCAAAAATCAATGTTATTTACTGATAACGCAGTTCTCTCTCTCTCTCTCATAATTCAAATAATTTCGAAAAGAATCTTACCTCATAATTGAAGTTATGTTTGGCTTGAAGGAAAAAGTAGAGAAAGGAAAGGAAAAACAAGAAAACCTTTATAATCATGGTCAATGAACTGCTGAACCAGGCAGTTAACTGTTTGAATGGTTTTAAATGTTTTTTTTTTTTGTCAAAACAAGCCGAGCATTCGGTTCGAACAGTCAAACTGTTCGACCCGATAACCAGACCCCTGACCGGTTCAGTCTCCGGATCGATTTTAAAAACCATGTTTATAACAAATCTTATATAGGTTTTGATACATTTTCCTTCAAACCAAACATAACCTCAAGGAAAAAAGGTTTTTGTTGATCTACCAATTAGATTTACATTAAACTACCAATAAATATTACCAAAAACAGAAAAAAAATACTCCCATAAGCTATTCAAGAATGAAGAGATCCAAATTAAAGATTGAAAATTTGAAGACTAGATTAATTATTTAAAGCAACATAACCAAGCACCCTAGCCACTCGCAGCCATCGTTTCAAAGACGTTGTATATGTGGAATGCATGACCTAAGAAACTTTGTGTACTATCCAAAACAGATGGGTCCGGATTAGGTAATGAATCTTCTCTTTTTCCCCCTCTCCTTTAAATTAGAATTTGATAGGAGTGGATACCTACCCATATCAGATATCATATTTTCTTCCTTTCTTTGACAAGAATGACCTACTTGACTTAAATCATTATTTTCCACCATAACCCTAAATTTAGAAGCTTACTCCATTAATCATAATGGATTGAAGATGCATGTCATAGAATATGTTTAAATGAGAAGAAAACATTTGGTTAATGAGTTTATCGGGTCAAAACCGGACTGGACCGGACAGTCGGACCGGAAAAACTGAGAATTGGTTACCTGACTGGTTTCGTTTTCTTCCAAAACTGTTGATTTTGGTCAACAAATCGTTGAACCGGCCGATTAACTATTTGAACTGTTCGAATAGTTTTAATCTTTTTTTAATTTTTAAAATTATTTTATTTTTTGTTAGAATGGGCCGGCCATTCAAGTCAAACGGTCGGACCATTCAAACCGGTAATCGGACCCTGACCGGTTCGATCACCGGTTCGTTTTTAAAAACCATGATTAGTAGTCAATCCCTTGTTAGAAAAGCAATTAGTCTCATCTCACCTACTCTTCAAGGAAATTGGGTCTTGATTCTTTTCTCTCCGTTTTTTTATCTTTAATTTCTTTCTTTCACCCATGTTAGTTGTACAGATTCTTGTTTATAAAATTGAAACAGCCCCAATTCCCAACCTGTCTCGATTGAATGAGGCCATCGCTGTTATTATTATTTTTTTATTTTGTTCTCATTGAATTTATTTTATTAATTATTATTATCGTAGCTAGTGAGGAAACTGACACTCCTATGTTTTTATTTTAACTACTGGGGCCTGCTTATAATTACAATTCTTGATTTTTTTCTGCGTCACTTATTTGACATGACTATCTTCGTCAATTCTCTTCACACCCCCCATTAGAATAATGCAAACAATCCAGAACAGTAGAATTAATCTCTATGTACAAAATCATCAACGTATGAGAGTTTGATTATTTTCTGTATGGGTGATGGATTGTGTATTTACAATATTTATAATAACAAAAGACACAGTAAAGGGGATGGTGTAGCATCAAACATTTCACACAATCTGTAAAACTAACCAATTTCCTGAATAAAAGATTCATCAAGAAGCAGCTCAGCCCAAAACGGAGCTCCTCCATAGCTAGAGGTGCTGCAGGCGTCACCCAGGTTGCTGACTGTAGTCTCGGTTGCACATAGAGCAGATGGAGGTGGAGGAGGAGGAGGAGGAGGAGGAGGAGGAGAGGGAGAGGGTGGAACGACTGATGGAGATTGAGGCGAGCTTTCTGCTTGGCTGAATCCTGTATAATCAGAACCTTGGGCTATCTCACTGTTGAAAGGCGTTTGGAAACTGCATGCAGCTGGTTGCAGGTTTGGCAAATGAGCTGGGAAATGGACTGAATCATGGACTGCTTGACTAGTAGCGATTCCAAGAGATGATAGGGTGGAATTCTCCAACTGGGGTAAACTCAAACCTGATGGTCTGTCTTTAATTGAAGAAATTGAGTTCAATAGATTGAAGGCATCCACGTTTGCCATGCTGCTCAGGTTGTTTGAAAAAGAGCTGGAAGTCATCGAAGCTGCCGTCTGAAGAAGGTATTGACAATATTGAAGCTTAGCTACTCGAAAAGCTTCTGATTGTAGTCTCACAGCATCTTCCTCCCATGGATGGTAATTCATAAGCTCTCTAAGGTTAGCCAGAGCTAGCAGCTGGGGGAGGTTTGAGAACATATCAGTTCGAGGTCGGTGGGTCATTGGGTCGAAACCCATCTGTATCAGCTTCTTTTTTAGGTGGGTGTTCCAGAAATTCTTAATTTCATTGTCAGTCCGGCCCGGGAGATGGGTTGCAATTGCTGACCACCTTTAGATCAAATTCAAATTAAGATAATTAGATGAAATAATAATATACAGAGAGAAAGTGTAGCATTTCAGGATAGAGGCTAACGAAATTACTTGTTGCCAAGAATGGAATGGAGATGCAGAATTGTCTGCTCTTCTTCTTGTGAAAATTTCCCTCTCTTGATGTCAGGCCTCAGGTAATTTGTCCATCTTAATCTACAGCTCTTCCCACATCTCTTCAGACCTGCAAGAACAATAATCAAACACCTTTAAGACGGGCAGAGATTGAGATAGATAGATAGAGATAGAGATAGAGAGAGAGAGAGAGAGAGAGAGAGAGAGAGAGACCTGCAAGTTTAGGGAGAGATCGCCAACTTCCATGGCCATGTTTCTGAATGTACTGGATAAGTTTCTGGTCTTCTTCAGGAGTCCAGGGGCCTTTCTTAAGACCGTTATCATCACAACAAGGAGACCTCCCCATATGATCTCTGTTTCTAATTTCTGGTTTGAATTCGCTCCCCCTCCCTTAAGCAAGCTACAGATTCTACTTATATACACGCGTCTCCCTTGTTCTTCTCTTTATTTAATTCAGTTGAAAGTGACCTACGTGGCCACACATTTGGCTGCAACTTCAATTTCACCTTTTCTCTCTTTTCTCTCTCCCAATGACATTCATGTCCTCTTCCATTTCTATCACTATTAATTTCCTTGTCCTCGCTGCTTCAGACTATCTTCCTTTAATTTACAGTTACGCCACCTTCTACCTTCAAATTTTAATTATGGAAATGGACAATGGATTAATTCCTCTAGCAACCTAATTATAAAGTGGGATAAGGCAGACCAGAATGACAATGATGGTAGTAGTGGTATAGGTACAAGAGGGAAATCTCTAGAGACCCCATTGATTTGTTCCAATCCATCCATTGACAATGCATCCTCTGTGGACCCACTTAGAAGGAGGCCCAATTGATTTATTCGGATCCATCATCCGTTGATTAATCAACTTTAAAGCATGGGGTGTTACTGTATTTTCACAATATCTTCATCGGTGAGCTGTACGTAGTCTGTCAAATCCAGACTTTTCATTTTATACTGCATTATTGGTCACAAGTCACCTATAAGGGAGGGAGTTGTGCATCAAAGAGACAAAGATCTTATTCTTTTATCCTTGCCACTAGGGGTGTCAATTGGACTGGATTTGGTCCAATCCGATCCATTCGATGTGAGTTCATTATAAAATGGATCCGGTCCAATCCAATCCACTGAGTGTTTTGGACCAATTTGGACCGATTCAATTCAATATCTGGACCATCCAATCTGTTCAAATTCATTTTGATTTAAATTGGTTTCAACCCAAAACTGGTCTATTGGCACATACATTCTTATCTTATATTAATGGATCAGATATTGGCTTAATCCAATCCAATCCAATAAAAATTTGTTACAGACAATCAAGTTCAATCTAATCTAATCTAATAAATATTTTGGACTGGATTGGTCTAATTCAATATGTCTTATTGGTCCATCCAATTCATTTAAATTGATTTTTGACTGAACGGGATCCAATCCAAAACTGGTCCATTGACACCCTTACTTGCCACCACATGATCTATCTGCTGCCATTTAACTCGGAATTAATGGGACAAGATTGGTAATACGAGGAAAGGCGGGACAAGAAGAGTCTTTCACGTTTAACAGTTGCAGGCAATCCATTTAAAAAAACAAAACTTTGATACAAGTTTACATCAAGAACACGTGGCAAGTTACTGCTGATCAGAAGAACCTGCAGTATGCACGCAATTTTCGTCACCGATTGCATGGCTGCCATAGACTTACGTGTTAATAATTTTTGTCTACCAAAATAACAAGCTAACAAATAATCGAGAAGAGAAGAGAAGATCTAGAGACGCCACGAACCCTGGCCATGGCCTCATGGGTAATTCTTACAAGGTTAGATTCTTGTTATCATTATCAGTCAACCCATTTTATTTATATAACCCGTGTGTGTTGACCCGACTGGGAATAACATTAAAAGAAGCCATGACTCATGAAGAAAACATATATACATACGATGGTATTATTATCCTTGTATTAGGTTTTGGTCTCATAAACTACTTTCAACAACCAGACAGCAATCCTGCCAACTTGGTTGACCCGACCAACGTACGAGTCCATCACACCATATATGGATGGGTTGGAAATAACCCGGTGCCATCCGGTAATGCCTCCCTTAGCTGTAAATTATTTTAATCCAGAGAGAGAGAATCTTGAAAGCTAGCCATGTCTCCTTCCACGTGTAAATGACAGGCTTCCCACCCCAACCAACTACAGCTCTCATTGGCTGAGCAGAAATTCACGACGTCTTATACTGAGAAGACACTTTCAATTCGATACAATTTGACAACAAAACAGGAAGCAAATTGAAACTGAAGATGACCCCCAAAATCATGCACCTGATTCACTAGGCACAATATATTAACTATTAAGTACGTTTTATGAGCATTTAATAAATATTTTGACTTTTAATTTTTTTTTTCATGTGTAGGCTGATTAGGTGTCAAAAAAATTTTCTAAGTGTTCATTGAACATGCTTACAATGCTGTGATTATCTGATTTTTAATTGCCCAAATCATGCATAGATTGCAAGAGACCCAGTAAAAAAGAGAGATACATTGTATTAAAGGCCAAGCATATAAATTAAAGCCTATTTGATTCGTAAGACTAAAATTGGAATCCGAATAGTCTATTCTCATTTCAACTGTTTGGTTGGACAGAATCAAAATTTCATTTCTATTTTTGGAATGATATTCCTCCATTTAAAGGAATGATCATTCCCTCCCTCTCCCTTTCCTTTGAAAATAAAATTTCATTACAGTTGATTTCAGTTCCTATCAATCAAACAATCTATAAGAATAGAACATTTCAATTTCAATTCCCACAGGTTGTGATTCAGATTCTCACTACCAACCAAATGGACCCTAATGTAATGGGTGAGTAGTTTGATCAAATAAAGGATATTATTACTTTGAAGTTCTAGTTGCCGTGACATATATATCCATGGGAGTTGTGGAAAAATGGTAGAAATAAATAATAAATAAATAAAATATTGCTGGAACTCATCGAGAAGAAAAGTCTCTGTGGTTGGATAGAGACAGAGACATCAAGGGATGCGACCCACTCGGCCACGGTTGCTTGTTAACTAGAGAAGAAGTTGGTTCAGCGAACTCCCCAAATCTCCACCACTTTTGAAGCACACACACACACACCAAGACATTCTTCTTAAATTCACCCAAGAAAATTGAAAAGGGTCAAAATCCGTTCATTGATGACTTGTTCTTTCCCAATTGTTAATTTATTAATGGACTTTCCTTGTCCCATCACAGTGGAAGAGAATATGTATATAAGCCAAATCTGTCAACTTTATTATGTGAAACCCTGTGGAATAGCCACATGAACAGATCCCTTGTTGACATTTGCCTCTTAGTCCACTTTATATATTGCACTACTTCTCTCCCAATATTCAATATACAATTAAACATTGTTCAATCCTTGTCATGGACAGAGGATCAACAAAATTATATTTCTTACAACGTGGCAAGAAGGAATGAATAGTGAGAAAAACTTTGCCAGGTAAAACACTAAGGTTTTAATTAAAAACCGGACTGGACACAGAAACGTTCTGAGAACTGGTTCCCAGGTTGATCGGTCTGATCATCCAGTTAAAATAGACAACTCGTTCTCACTACTTAAAAAATAAATAAAACAAAAAATTGATCAAAAATCATTATCTGGGTCAGTGGTTCGACCATCCAGGTAAACATATCACTGACCAAACCAACGGTTTTGACTAAAAAAAGTTTTAGGATGAAACAGAACTGATTACCTAACCGGTTCCCGGGTCAGCTGATCCAATTTTCAAAACCATGATGAACACAATTATCAACTGCAAAATTGGAAAATATCATGGATTGTATCTAAAAAATTGGCATTTTAACATATTTGTTATTATTGTTTAGACCCTTTCAAACCCTAGAATTTATTTTGGCTGTCGGCACTTATTTATAATTTTATATGCTATGCATTACAAACAGTGGGAACCATTTTTTGTTTCCTATGAGTTATATGTACATAAAGTGTTCAGGATGTATAAATTATTAAGAAATGATTTATTTATATGAAAATGACAAAAAGTTTAATATATCATGACTAGTGAAGCGTGTAATGCCTTCCATTTATCATGACGTGCCAAACAATGAAGCCAAATGTTTCTACAAAAAGATGATTTGTTCTTGATCAAAGAATAAAAACCCAATATATGAAACAAGTGCTCGAAATGTTTTTGTTTTTTTATCTAAAAATAGTAATTTCTTTATTTCTTTCTTTCTTATCATATGCTAATGCTCTTCTAGTTTTCAAAACACTTACATAGATTAAGAGAGATATTCTTGTGAAGCAAAAACCAAAAAAAAAAAAAGAAAAGAAGAAAAAAATGATATTCTTAACATTTATATCTTCAATAAAAACCTAGGTTGGACCAACCTGTTAGACCAAGTAGTTGGCCAAAACGAAGTCGACCTACCTGACAAATGAGGTTTTGTTGGTAATTAATGATTTCTTCTTCTTTTTCTTTCTCTTTCTCTTGTTTGCGGCGACAAAATAACTGGAAACCTGTTTAACTAGTGAAATATAACCTCATCTTCACTTTCTAAAGCAAAAACAAAAGCTGTTTTCAAAAGCATGAGGCCAAAACAATATCAATATATAAATAATCCAAAAATATTTGATATAAAAAAGTAATAAAAGAATGTGGTTTAGGGCCTTTAGCTACTACACAAAGAAGAACAAGAACCAGAAGTGCAGCCCTAAGGAAAACTTATTGAAGGCAAGCTACTAATTTTATCCCGTTCGACCAGTTGATCTGCTTAGGTTCTTATACTATAGATTAGTTGGCACATTAATTGTGCAATGGCAGCTAGAAAGAACACACTTAAGTATGGTTTGTTTGTTTGTCTCAAAATCAAGGTCATAATTTAATTTGTGTCCTACCATTAAGGCTTCAACAGTTATGGAGTACAGTACTTGTACATTACTTGTTTGGGCTGTGTGTCAAACCTAAGTTCATATTAAAGGGTCGTATCATCAGCCACAGATTGTCAAAGAGACTGGAGAGGATGGAAAATGATGCTTTCGTTTTACTCCACCTATCTCTCTTTCTTGCCTCATTTGCTGCCCTGGACAAGTTTAGTTTTGCTCCAAAAACTGAACAAAAGATTTTAGGGTCCAAAAGTCTAACATGAGAGCAATAGGACGGCCTAAGGCCAAAGTACTGAGCCCCTGTTTTACATATCTCTCTCTCCCTCTCCAAATCTAAACATTTGAAGAAATAAGATTAATTAAATATCATTTCTAGCAACATAAAATCTCATGTTCTTCTTTTTCAGCTTTATGTGGGGACTCGGAAAAGTTTATTTTCCTGGTTAGGTATTATTTACCTAGGAAAGTAATATCCATCTGCT